TAAAAAAGGGTCAGGCAAAAAGGCCGATATGAGAAAACAAGGAAAAAGGTCATAAACAGTGATATCACGAAAGGCAAACAATCCAAAGGGTCGGGCAAAAATGAAGAGTCGAGAATACAAACAACTGGTCAAAAACAGGAGTCAAACAACAACAGAACGCTCAGTAGATCAAAAGTGATACAATACCTCGCAAATTGTCTCTGCTAAAGCCTGAGCTTATAAACTAAACTAAGAGGATCATATGACACAGCGCTGATTGGAGTGTGAGGGAAGATCAGGAGTCAGGTAATCTCCCAAGAATTCTGAGAGATGGAGTCCAAGTGTGCCTCAGAGCCAGATGGATGCATGACACCTAATAAGATCAGAAATTGAGCATAACCCTCACTCATTTACAAATTACAAATGACCACCATATAAAGAATCAATTAGACTCTCTGATAAAGCTGTGTAGTAAATCTGTAACATATTTGTCCAAAATAAGCTAAAAAAAGGAAATTATTAGAAACCTCTTGGGTGATACGCTCCCCAATTCACTGTAAAATGATTTGTTTTAACTTACATTATCGTGGCTGCCCTAAAACAGGTTTTATTACATTTCTATAAAAAAGCTAACAGGATCTAAGATATGAAGAAGTGATATGTTAACTCAGTTTTAGATTCAGCACACTCAAAAAGGCAGTCATGCTACTTTCTTTTCAAAATTATGGGTAACACCTTTTTTACAGTTTCATACTGGACAGATCTCTAAAGTACATTCATTCAATTTGCTATAATTCACTACTTTGTTGCACCAAAGCTCTGTTTAAGTGTTTAGTTTAATATGTACTGGCTATCAATATAATATCAACACACACATTTACATATATACAGTGCTGTGGAACAGTATTTCCCGATTTCCTCAATTTTGAATATTTGACACTAAATAGTTTTAGATAGTGGGCGGCACGGTGGCGCAGTGGGTAGTGCTGTCGCCTCACAGCAAGAATGGCCTGGGTTCGATTCCCGGCCGGGTGACCAGGGTCATTTCTGTGTGGAGTTTGCATGTTCTCCCCGTGTCTGCGTGGGTTTCCTCCGGGTACTCTGGTTTCCTCCCACAGTCCAAAGACATGCCGTCAGGCCAATTGGACTTGCTGAATTGCCCCTAGGTGTGTGTGCGAATGTGTATGTCTGTCTGTCTGCCCTGCGATGGACTGGCGACCTGTCCAGGGTGTATCCTGCCTTCCACCCAATGACAGCTGGGATAGGCTCCAGCACCCCACCGTGACCCAGAAGGATAAGCGGTTTAGATGATGGATGGATAGTTTTAGATAATCACACAAAAAGTGACATAAAACAAGGGGAACATGATTTATATAAAACTCTGATTTTAAGTGATTTCAATTATTGAGGGGAAGCAGTTATCCAACACCAACTGGCTCTATATGAAAAAGTAATTGCCCACAGATCTACTCATTAAGTCAATTAATGATATTTACTTGATATTTGGGATCAATTAAACTAGACACACCCAAGCTTGATTAGTCCCAGCCCTGTTGAATCTAAACACCACTTAAATATAACTCCTCCAGCAATGTTATGTTGGCCAAAATGTCTCAACAAGCAGCACACTACGCCATGATCAAAAGAAATTCCAGAAAAGATGTGAAATCAGTCTGAAAAGGGTTACAAAGCCATGTCTATGGCACTGGGACCTCAGTGAACTACAGTGAGAGCCATTATCTCCAAATGGAGAAAACTTTGAACTGTGGTCAGTCTTCTTAGAAAGTGGTCTGCCTACCACAATTCCTCCCAATAACAGCTCATCTAGGACGTCACAAAAGAATCCAGACAAACATCTAAGAAACTGCAGTCATCTTAGATAATGTACATGACTCCACCATTAGAATGAGACTGGAGAAAAATGACATCAGTGTAAGAGCTGCAAAGCAAAAACCTTGGCTAACCAAGAAGAACATACAGGCTTGTGTCACATTTGACTTTTGAAGCAGTGTTTTGTCGATTAATGAGTCAAAAGTGGAACATTTTTGGAAAATGGGTGCCATTACATCTGGTGTAAAGCTAAGGCAGCATTCCACAATAAGAAAATCATACCACTGTGAAACATGGAGGTGTTAATGTTATGGTGTGGCAGTGCTTTACTGCTTCAGGGCCTCTGTGACTTACCATAATTGACAGAGCCATGAATTCTGCTCTTTACTGCAAAATCCTGCAGGAGGATGTTTAGTCACCAATCATGATCTGAACCTCAAACATAATTGGGTTATACAGCTAGACAACAATCCCAAGCACAAGATTAAGTCCATCTTCGGATTGCTTAAACAAGATTAAAGTTATTGATTGGCCTAATCAAAGTCCTGACTTAAACTCATTGACATGCTGTTACACCTCATGCTCAAAAGCCTTGGCTGAATTAAAGCAAAAAAAGAGTGGAACAAATGACTTGAGGGTTTGGTTACAGTTGTTCTTGCAAAAGATGGCTCAACCAGTTATTTAAGTTTAGGGGCAGTTACTTTTTCAAATGACCTTTTGAAAACTTCTTAGTTTTTCCTCAAGTTCTCCTTGTCTTACATTACATTTTATATGAGTATCCCAAACCATTTAGTGTGACAAATATGCAAAATCAGAGAAAAAACAACAGCGTTCTCTTAACTCTCAATCACCTGGGCTGAAGATAGAGCTGGGATGTTTATAGGACATTAAATTAGAAGGAGAAGAAAGATATGAAAGAACGTAATGAAAATACAGTGTTTGGATTTGAACAGTGTTTGAACTTTATTTAAGCTAAATGTCTCAGTGCTCAGGCCGGCAGATTGAGCTCCTGTAGTGAGGCTGACTGACCCTGTGCGAGAATCAAACTTAGGCCTCTAATACTAGAGTCCAATGCACAACAAGGCACGTCACCTACTGTAGACAAACACAAACTCAAGTGCAGAACTGAACTCAAGAACTGGTTAAACTAACAGAGAAAATTAGAGAAGAGAAAGGAACAAACTTAAAACAGAAATTCAGTCACTCTGAGGTGGATGTGAACTGTGGAACTATGGGTTTGAAAGCTGTCATGACACAGGCTGAACTAGAGGGAGGAGCAGAAATAGGTTACAGAGTAACATACAAGTAAAATGTAGTGAGATCACTTTTTCAGGTAGTAATAAGTAATGTAATCATATTTAATTTTGAAAAAAGTAATTAGCAAATTGTTTTACTTTGAGTTCCTACCCCAACATCGGTGGCCAAAGAGTTCCATTTTTCATCATTGATCAGCAAACAGCGCTTGCTTCCAAAGTGCCTCTATATAATAGGGTTTCTGCTTTGGAATCTTGGTTCTTCACTAAATCTCTTGTTAATCAAATCTCCTGGAGTTTTAAATCATAATGAGAGTTTTATCATGTTGTAATTAGTTGTGTGAAGAGTCAGTTTGTGTTTTTGTTCCATCCTGTTCAGTGTCAGAGTGTTGATATATATTGGGATGACCCTCCGGGCCGTTTGGTTTGTTTTGCCCTGAATGTGTTGTGAAATTGGGAGGTGGAGCTTGGACCGAATTGGCTACTAAGACACACTTGTGCACAGGTGTTTGGGTCTCTTTAAAAGGTTTTCCAATGTGGAGAGCTGGAGCCTCATCATCTCCCTCAGCTGTTTGTTATGGACTGGTTGGAGGCTGGTCTGTAACAATGTGAGGACTTTTTTGTTTTTGGCTGCACTTTTTCCTGGCTAATATAATTGCTGGGGTTTGCCAGTGTTTTTTGAGGAGGGCGGGGTGAGGGTGGAAAGGTTAAATTGAAAATATTTTTTGTTAGTATTGGGCTCATATGATTAATTTGGCTTTGTTTTGGTGCCAGTTTGGTTCATATTTTGTGCTAAGTGTGGCCAGTTGTTGTTATTTTTTATTTTATTTTTTTTTTCACACTAATGGGCTTCAGTGCATAAATATTTGCCACTAGTAACTGTTTGAAGATCAGGTTCTACTTGGTTAATTGTCTCTTATCAGTTTCAGGTAGTGAGGGGCTTTCAAACACTTGTTTGACATCTTTTGTGTCACTTTTATATCCCTCTTTTTGTAGTTTAGCTATTTTTTGTTTCCACTGCATAGAGTTTCTCGTTTTCCAGACCTCGTTAAACTTGAGGTCATGTTAGAGGTTTGCCCTGGGCTCCCTGTGGATGGGGCTTCAGTAATTTTGGGGAACGACCTGGCTGGGGGATGTGCATAGTGTGATGTGTCACCACCTTTACTGGTAATGCCCACTCCTGCTTGTCTCAGGTTTGTGATGAGCTGGTGCCTTTTCTTGCAGCCTTTTGTTCTTGATATTTGTCAAAGGTACTGACAATGTGATAGCGGATACATTGTCACAGATACCAGTCTCTTAGTCTTTATACCTGTTACTTGGTTTTCTGTCCTGTTTTTGCTGTCTTTAAACTTCCAGGGCCAGGGAAGTGCAAGAACGTATTGGATGGGGCATGTCTAATATTGATGAAAATTGTAAAATGTATATATATTTTTTTGCAAATCTTGGTGGTATATAAAGTTTATTTTTTATGTGGGGTTATGTCAGTGCTTTTTTTTTTTTGAGGGAGAAGGTGTGATGACCCTGCGGGCTGTTAAGTTTGTTTTGCCCTGAGTGTGTTGCAGGTGGAATTGAGGGGGAGCTTTGACCTAATTGGCTACTGAGACACACCAGTGTGCAGGTTTTTCTTTTAAAGGCTTTCCAGTGTGGAGAGCTGGAGCCTGTTTTCTCTGTTTCTCTTTACTGCAAGTTCATTTTCTGGCCATCTTGGGGCTAATGCTGTCAGGAGTCCAGTGAGTGGACTTCAGTAGGGCTATCTTTGTGGTTTGCAACCCATTTTTAATTAGATTAATTTGAAACTTGAAAATAAGATTTTTCTTAAACTTTCACTCATTGTCTGCATCAATTCTTTCTGAACTGGCTGGAGGCCAATTCTGTACTACAGCCGGGTTTTGCTGTATTTAAATGCCATCTGTCACTCTTTTTCATTCCTTTCCACAGATTGTGTGGCTGTATGGTTACAGATGAAGGCTGTTCTTCTCTGGCTTCAGCTGTGAAATCAAACCTCTCCCACCTGAGAGAACTGGATCTGACTTATAATCACCCAGGAAAGTCTGGATTGAAGCTGCTATCTGGTCTACTGGAGGATCCACACTGTAAACTGGAGAAAATACAGTGAGTTACTGATTTACTGTCTTTGTAATGTTTTACGGTATATGTGTTTGTTTTTGAATTGCGACTGGACATATCTTACACACAGAGTTTAACTTCTTACAGATTGAACACGTCTTACACACAGAGTTTAACTTCTTACAGACTGAACACATCTTACACACTGAGTTTAACTTCATACAGACTGACTGAACACGTCTTACACACCGAGTTTAACAGATTTATTCAATCAGGGAAACTGCCCCATCTGAACTAAGCCAGGTTTCAGTATCATAAAGTACAGTTTCTGTTCAGAAATAAGACGATTGACAGTTAGATCTGTTAGTTTTGTTAGTTAGAGCTCTTACTTTCAGCAGTGCTGTTCTAAAATCTCTATCTGACTCTGTTACGGTGCAACAAACTTACAAACTTCAACTAACTTTAATTATTTATTCCTTTAGTTCCTGCAGTACATACTGCATTTCGACTGCTTACTACAGTTTGAATAGAGAAGTAACCGTTAGTACCAGATGAGCTGCTGTTTGTTTTATATACTTCTCTATTTTAATGTTACATTTTACTGATTCCTTACTTGTAGTTCAGAGATAAAAACGTAGATCAGTGGAGACTTAGGTGGAGACTGTCTCTGTGATAAAGAGAAGGTCTTTCCCAAAAAGTGTTCTGTCAGTAAAACCCAAGTTATTGTCCTCAGTCCACCGTTTCAGCCACTCGTTTAGTGTAGAGTCTACTAAAAATCTCTTTTCCTTTTCTAAATGTTGGCAGAGGGCCAGAAACTACAGTGCTGGCTGTTGTTTGTTCCTGTTTGCTATGCAAAAGTGCTGTAAAATGATCTTTTAAGCCTTCATTCTCTCGATCTCATGTATTGTTCACTCCTGTGAACAATGAAAGAACTAGTGTCTAACCAGAGAGGGATAAAACAGACGCTTCACCTTTAGCTGGAGCCAAGTTCACGTTCTTCATGTTCGAGTCTCCGATTACTAAAACATTGGTGGAGGGAGGAGCAGAGGAGGAGAGAGAGCTCAGTACTTTGAATCTGTTGCTGGTGGTGAGTTCAGACTGAGGTGGTGGTGGGGACCCAGGCCGTCTTCTGCAACGCTGGCGTTGCCAGACTCCACTGTCCAAAGGCGGGGGTGACTATGAGAGTCCCTGGTCTAACTGGCTGGTCTGGCCTGGTTCAGGTGACCTTTGGTCGGCATGGAAGTTGCCCACACGCTGGTGGCCCCATTGATTAGCGCACCATGTTTCCCATGACCCTCCACAGGTCTGGGTAAGATAGCCACTCCAGCTACACAGGAGTCCTCGCAAGCCGCCTCGAGGCGAGGTTTTCGTGTGTAGAGTTGAGTCTGACGGTCCAGCAGTGCCTTAATTTCAGCCTTCAATGAGTTTAAAATAATAAAAGGGTTATAAAATAAAAACGTGTAAAAAGTATGAAAAATTAGAAATACTTATTTATTTTTTTCCATGAGGGAAAAAATAAATAAATAAATATTTCTAATTTTTGTTTACTTGGTGCTCCAATGAGTTCAAAATAATAAAAGGGTTATAAAATAAAAAAGTATAAAAAGTATGAAAAATTAGAAATATTTATATTTTTTTTCCCTCGTGGAAAAAAAATGAAAGTAAAAATAAACAAAATGAAAAAATAAAAATGTACATAAATGTTCATGTATGTATAAAAATAAGTAAAATGAAAATGGCTAAAAACATCTAGCTGTGCTCACTTAGCTTGTGTTGTGCTAAGCTAGGCTGCTCTCTGTAGCTTGAAAGAATTACAAGAGTTACAAATACTAACTAGGTACAGCTAACTAACCTAGCAACGTGATTTAGAGCTGACTAACCTAGCAGTGTGATTTAGAGCTAACTTGCCTAGCAATGTGAATTAGAGCTATGTATCCAAGTGGTTTGATTTAGCGCTAACTAGCCTAGCATTTTGATTTAGAGCTTGCTAGCCTAGCAGTGTGATTTAAAGCTAATTAGCCTAGCAATATGAATTAGAGCTAACTAGCCTAGCAGTGTGATTTAGAGCTAACTAGGCTAGCAGTGTGATTTAGCACAAACTAGCCTATCAGTGTGATTTAGAGCTAAATAGCCTAGCAGTGTGATTTAGCGTAAACTAGCCTGGCAGTGTGATTTAGAGCTAACTAGCCTAGCAGTGTGATTTAGAGCTAATTAGCCAAGGAATGTGATTTAGAGCTAATTAACCTAGCAGTTTGATTTATAGCTAACTAACCTAGCAATGTGAATTAGAGCTAATTAGCCTAGGAGCTTGATTCATAGCTAACTAACCTAGCAATGTGAAATAGAGCTATGTAGCCAAGTGGTTTGATTTTGAGTTAACTAACCTAGCAATGTGATTTAAAGCTAATTAGCCTAGCAATGTGATTTAGAGCTAACTAGCCTAGCAGTGTGATTTAGAGCTAACTAACCTAGCAGTGTGATTTAGAGCTAATTAGCCTAGCAGTATGATTTATAGCTAACTAACCTAGCAGTGTGAATTGGAGCTATGTAGCCAGGTGGTTTTATTTAGAGTTAACTAGCCAGACTACGACTGCACCACGCGCCCTCGCTTTGTCTACATAAGGAATCAGCTGATCGCACTGTGGAAGCCGGCGGCTTAGTTTACATCGCAGCGGCCTGGGATTCCAGTGGAGCTGAGACATCCTCACCAGGGCTGCAGAGCGTTGAGAGAAACTGCGGGAAAAGAAGTCAAAGAAGTATATAAATCCACAGCTCTCCCCCAACTGGGTTGTTCAGACCATAACCTGGTTCACCTCAATTTGTGGTATAAACTCTTGGTTCAGAGACAGGCAGTGATCACAAGGACAGTGAGAAAGTGGTCACCTGAGGCTGTAGAATTACTGAGGGGCTGTCTGGAGGCTACACAATGGGATGTCCTGTGTGAACCACATGGTGAGGACATTGATGCAATAACATCATGCATCACTGACTACATCAACTGCTGTGTGGTTGTACCCTCCAGGACTGTCTGATGCTTTCCGAACAAACCCTGGGTCACTAGTGACTTAAACCAGAGGAAAAGTGCATTTTTGGCAGGAGACAGGGAGGAACTGAAGAGAGTACAGAAAGAGCTTAAAACCTCAATTAAGAAGGCCACAGAGGAGTACAAATCCAAGCTGGAAAACAAACTAGAGCTGAATAACACTTGTGATGTCTGGAGAGGCCTAAAAGACATCACTGGCTTCAACCAACGCAGCCCTATTCCAGCAGAGGGAAAGCATGAATGGGCAAATGAGTTAAACCAGCTCTTTGTGCGGTTCGACAACGGCTCCTCTCCTGCTCCATCTCCTACGCAGATTAACACTCCTACACAACTACACCATGGGCCATCCACAGCCTCACCTTCCTCCACCACAGCCATTCACACCTGTGACCATCAGCAACCACTGTCTGCAATGGACGCCTCTCATCCTCCCCCACAACTGGAATGTGCAGTGATGTTACATTCATGGCTAATCAGGTGAAGATTAAACTGAAAAAAACCTCAAGCAGAGCAAAGCAGCGGGACCTGATGGCATTGAACCCAAGGTGCTGAAACTGTGTGCGGAGCAGCTGTGTGGAATTCTTTAGCACATCTTCAATCTGAGCTGCAGCCTGAAGAGAGTCCCAGTTATGTGGAAAACATCTTGTGTGGTTCCTGTCGCCAAGAAAAGGCAACCGACAGCACAGAATGATTATCGACCGGTTGCACTGATATCCCACTTGATGAAGACACTTGAAAGGCTGATGCTAACTCATCTGAGACCTCTTGTCAGAACAGCTCTCAACCCTCTGCAGTTTGCATATCAGGATGGCATTGGAGTGGATGATGCAGTTATCTACCTGCTGGACAGAACACACTCTCACCTGGACACATCAGGCAGCACTGTGAGGATGATGTTCTTCGATTTCTCCAGTGCATTCAACACCATACAGCCTGTGCTGTTAGGAGAGAAACTACGGCGGATGAAGGAATCCATCATCTCATGGACAATGGACTATCTGACTGGACGACCTCAGTATATGCGACTGCAGGGCTGTATCTCAGACAAGGCTGTGTGCAGTGTTGGGGCACCCCAGGGAACTGTGTTAGCCCCATTTCTGTTCAACCTGTACACCTCGTACTTCAGGTACAACACAGAGTCGTGTCATCTGCAGAAATTCTCGGATGACACGGCCATTGTGGGGCGCATGAGGAATGGACAGGAGGAGGAATACAGGAAGCTGGTGAAGGACTTTGTTGACTGGTGTAAGCTGAACCAGCTGCAGCTAAACATCAGTAAGACTAAGGAGATAGGGCTGGACTTTAGGAAGTCCAAACCTGCCTTGTCACCAGTCACCATTGATTGAGTTGATGTGGAGCTGGTTGGGACCTACAAATATCTGGGGGTGCACTTGGACAACAAGCTGGACTGGAGCTGTAACACTCGCAGTGTACAAGAGAGGCCTAAGCTGTCTCTACTTCCTGAGGAGGCTAAGGTCTTTTGGTGTGAGCACTAAGCTCCTATGGTCATTCTACCAGTCTATTGTAGTGAGTGCTCTATTCTGTGCTGTTGTGTTCTGGAGCAGCAGCATTAACAAAAATGCTCTGAACAAAATTAACAAACTTGTTAGGAAGGCTGGCTCTATTGTCAGAGTCAAGCTGGACTCTTTGGAGGTTGTGGCAGAACAGAGGACACTGAACAAGCTGTTAGCCATCTTGGACAACACCTCACAACCCCTGCATGCTACACTGGATAAACAGAGAAGATCATTCAGTGGCAACTGTTATAGCTGCGCTGTGTTAAAGGCTAACTAGCCTAGCACTGTGATTTAGAGCTAACTAGCCTAGCACTGTGATTTAGAGCAAACTAGCCTAGCATTGTGATTTAGAGCTAACTAGCCTAGTACTGTCATTTAGCGCTAACTAGCCTAGCAGTATGATTTAGCAATAGCTATCCTACAGTGTGAACAAGACCCCGAGATACTTAAACTCCTCCACCTGGGGCAAGTCCTTTCCCCCTACCTGGAGTGGGCATGCCATCCTTTTCTGGGCTAAGACCATGGACTCAGACTTGGAGGTGCTGATCCACATACCAACCACTTCACACTCAGCTGCAAACTGCTCCAGTGCGCGCTGGAGGCATCCATGTGATCCAGCCAAAAGAACAACATCATCTGCAAATAGCAGAGATGCCACCCTTCGGCCTCCACACATAATGCCCTCCTGACCACGGCTACGCCTTGACACCCTGTCCATGAATATCACAAACAGGAGTGGAGACAGGGCACAACCCTGGCGGAGTCCAATGCTAACACTGAAAGAGTCCGACTTAATGCCGAGTATATGAACACAGCTCTCACTCCGGGAGTACAGAGATTGAATGGCCCGGAGTAGCAGCCCCAGCACCCCATACTCCCGGAGGACCTCCCACAAGATATCTCGGGGAACACGGTCGTAAGCCTTCTCCAAATCCACAAAACACATGTAGACTGGGTTGGCCAATTCCTATGCCCCCTCAACAATCCATGAGAGGGTGAAAAGCTGGTCCATTGTTCCACGGCCGGGACGGAATCCGCATTGTTCCTCCTCAATCCGAGGTTCAACTATCGGTCGAAGTCTCCTTTCTAGCACCTTGGCATAGACTTTCCCAGGGAGGCTGAGCAGTGTGATACCCCGATAGTTGGCACACACCCTCCGGTCCCCTTTCTTAAAAATAGGGACCACCACCCCGGTCTGCCAGTCAAAGGGTACTGTTCCCGAGGTCCATGCAATATTGCAGAGGCGTGCCAGCCATGACAGCCCCACAATATCCAGAGCCTTAAGCATCTCTGGACGAATCTCATCCACCCCCGGTGCCTTGCCACTGAAGTGCTTGCCAACTGCCTCAGTGACCTGCACCAGGGAAATGGAGCTTGACATGCCAGAAGCCTCTGGCCCTGACTCCCGTGAGGAAGGCATGTCTCCCGGATTAAGGAGTTTCTCAAAGTGCTTCTTCCACCGACCGACAATATCCTCATTTGAAGTCAGAGTTTCTCCACCCCTGCCGAATACAACTTGGGCGCAGCCACCCCGACTGCTCCTGAGTCGCTGGACAGTCATCCAGAACCTCCTTGAGGCCGACCGAAAGTCTTTTTCCATGGCTTCTCCAAACTCCTCCCACACCCTGGATTTTGCTTCTGCCACCGTTGCGGCTGCCACCTTTTTTCGCCTGTCGGTACCTATCTGCTGAGTCCATCCAGTCCTTAAAGGCCTCTTTCTTCAGCTTGACGGCCTCCCTCACCCCTGGTGTCCACCAGGGGGTTCTTGGGTTAGCGCCATGACAGGCACCAACAAGCTTTTGGCCACAGCTATACCTGGCAGCTTCCACAATGGAGGTTTTGAACAGGGTCCATTCAGACTCCATGTCCCCTACCTCCTCCGGGACATGAGAAAAACTCTCCCGGAGGTGGGAGTTAAAATTTTTCCGAACAGGGGCCTCCGACAGTTGTTCGCAACACACCCTCACTATTCGCTTGGGCCTACCGGGTCTGACCATCGGTCTTCCCTGCCATCTGATCCAACTCACCACCAGATGGCGATCGGTTGACAGCTCAGCACCTCTCTTCACCCGAGTGTCCAGAACATATGGTCCCAAGTCAGATGAAACGACAACAACAAAGTCGATCATTGATCTATGACCCAAGGAGCTCTGGTACCGTGTACACTTATAAACATCATTGTGTTCGAACTTGGTGTTCATTATGGACAATCCATGCCTGTCACAGAAGTCCAATAACAATTCACCATTCGGGTTTAGATCGGGCAGGCCGTTCTCCCCAATCACGCCTCTCCAGGTCTCCCAGTCATTGCCAACATGAGCACTGAAGTCTCCCAGTAAGACTATGGAGTCTGTAGGCGGGACCCTTTCCAGAACCCCGCCCACTTGCTCCAAGAAGGCCGAATACTCTGACCTGCGGTTTGGTGCATAAGCACACACAACAGTCAGAGTTTTCCTCTCTGCGATTTTAATTCGCATTGAGACGACCCTCTCGTCCACCGGGACAAACTCCAACTGCACGGCTGCCAGCTGCGGACTCGTGAGTATCCCCACACCCGCCCGGCGCCTCTCACCCTGTGAAACCCCAGAGTAGGAGAGGGACCAAGCCCTATCAAGGAGTTTGGTTCCAGAGCCGACACTGTGGGTGGAGGTGAGCCCAACTATATCTAGTTGGTACCTCTCAACCTCCCACACAAGCTCCGGCTCCTTCCCCCCCAGTGAGGTTACATTCCACGTACCAAGAGCCAGTTTCTGCCACAGGGGCCTAGGCCACCAGGGGCCCCCCCGCAATCTCCCTCTGCCTATATGGCATTGCACCGCTCCCCCATGCTGGACCTTGTGGGTGGTGGGCCCACATGGTCTCCCCACATTTCATCTTCGGGCTGAGCCCGGCCACCAGGCGCTCGCCGGGGGACGCTACCCCCAGGCCTGGCTCCAGGGGTAGGTCCCGGTGACCCTCTCCCGGGCAGGGTACACGATTGTCCGTGTCCATTTTTCATAGAGGATTTTTGGATCGAGTTAGTCTGGGTCTTCACTCCAGACCTGTTTGCCCTGGGAGACCCTACCAGGAGCATACTGCTCCCGACGACTTAGCTCTGAAGATCCCTAGACCACACAAGCCCTTCTGCCTCAACAAGGCCCCAATCCAGGAAGGGAGCATAACAATATGATTCTTTATTTTAGTTTAGTTTTAACTGGACTGTAAGGTCTGAAGGGCATTTTATACCATAATGATCTGTTTTAGTCTTTATTTTAGTTTTGATTTGATATTAAGTTTAATGAATGTATAAATATGTGTGTTTGTTCTTCAGGGTGGATCATGGAGGGAAGATCAGGATCAAACCAGGACTGAAGAAATGTAACCAACACACTCACGCGCACACACACAAATACATACACTCATTTATATACATATAAATCATAAAAACACACATACACACTCATATCTTAGAGTCACACACATTAAATTTTCTTTGTGTGTGTGTGTGTGTGTGTGTGTGTGTGTGTATCTGTGTTTGTGTGTGTATCTGTGTGTGTGTGTGTGTGTGTGTGTGTGTACAGATGCTGTTAGTCTCACTCTGGATCCAAACACAGTGTACAGTCATCTCTCTCTGTCTGAGAGGAACAGAAAGGTGGAGGATGTGGGAGAAGATCAGTTGTATCCAGATCATCCAGACCGATTTGATTGCTGGTCTCAGGTTCTGAGTGTGGAGAGTCTGACTGGATGCTGTTACTGGGAGGTTCAGTGGAGCAGATGGGTTTATATATCAGTATCATACAGAGGAATCAGGAGGAAAGGAGGCAGTGATGACTGTGGGTTTGGATTCAATAATCACTCCTGGAGTCTGGAGTGCAATAAGAACAGATACACTGTTTATCATAATAAACAGAGAACTGACCTACCTGCCCCCCCCTCCCCCTCTAACAGAGTAGGAGTGTATCTGGACTGGGGGTCCGGCACTCTGTCCTTCTACACCATCCCCCCTAACACACACACACTGACCCACCTACACACACTCACCACTACATTCACTGAACCGCTTTACGCTGGATTCTGGGTTTATGACTCCTTAGTGAGTCTGTGTGAGATAGAATAACCTCTACAGAGAGAGAGAGAGAGAGAGAGAGAGACACAGAGAGAGACAGATAGAGATACAGTCAGAGAGAGATACAGACAGAGAGAAAGAGGGAGAGACAGAGAGAGAAATACAGACAGAGAGAGACACAGCGAGAGGTACAGACAAAGAGAGAGATACAGACAGAGAGAGAGATAGACAGAGAGAAAAAGCAGAGAGAGAGATACAGAGAGAGAGAGAGATACACAGAGACAGAGACAGAGAGAGAGAAAGACAGTGAGGGGGGGTGGGGGGTCAGGTTTGTGAAAATGTGTTTGTTGTTTATCAGTTTGATCTCAGACTGTAAATATGAGAGAAATCAAACCTTTCTGTGTTTAAATTATTCAGAATAAATAAAGAGAATAAAATAAACTGTTTTCTCTAAAATGTGATTCAGAAAATGATTCACTAAACAGAACAAAAACACAGACAAGTTTAAATATGAGACACATTCAGATTCACTGTTCACACACATTTACACACACACATTTACACAAACACACATTTACACACACACATTTACACAAACACACATTTACACACACACATTTACACACACATTACACAAACATGCACACACTATACCCAAACACATTTACACACACACTATACAAACACACACACATTTACACACACACAATTACACACACATACAAACACACACATTTACAAACACACATTTACACACATTTACACACAAATACACACCACACACAAACATAACTCACTCACACATTTGCACACACACACAAACACACATAAATTTCACTCACCAGACAAATATTATTTTATTAACTAAGCTAAATCAATTATAAATTAAAGTCAATAATAAAGTATTTTGAAGGAAATATAAACCTACACTGTAGGAAATTGTAAGATAAAGCTCACATGACTGTGTTGGTTCAGTGGTGACCAGTGTTATGGTAAATTCAGTCCCCCTGTTTCCCCTCATCGTGCGTATCGAAATCATGACGTCTTCAGCTGACGCTGCGCTGCAGGGCTTCGATGGTCCTCTGACTGTCTGAACTGAGTCTGAGGGGGATGTCATCCAATCTTTAATGTCCTACACATCACATTAATCTGAGGTTAATGTTCATTAATTTATACAGTTTTATACAGTTGTATGTAACACAGCTCATAAACTGTGTGGTTAGGATCAAATTTGAAGTGGTCAGTTTACCAGCTTCCATACAAATGAACACAGGCACAACTTTGTAATTAACATCTGACCGACACAACACAACACAGAGCCCTGATAGAGCTCTTTCTGCTGGTAGGAGAAAAAAATCAGTTTTGGTTCATATTGTGACTCATTAGGTTAAAATAATGATTTTTTCTTGAGATTTTCAAAAATAAGGTCTCAATAATCTTATTACTCATCAAGGAAGCGCGTGATTATTTTATAATGAGTCATTATTTTGAGAAAGTAAGATCATTTGAGTCAGAAAATTCTGGAAAATATTTATTCATTTGGACCTTCTGATTTGGAACAGCTGCTCACACTCTGACACAGGACTGAGACGTAAATGCAGAGTTTAATTAAAGGACGATAAACTCTGTCTGCTGTTAACCTGGACAATAGACTTGAGCAGTGCATTGTGGGAGGTCACTAGATAAGAGAAGTGTTTTAAAATCTGAATATTTAGTGTTTCTGGTTTTAATTAATAAGATCACAGAAAACTCTCCATTAAACTTGAGCCTGTTGTGCCTCTTCATGTTCAGTGATGAACGATGGTGAACATTACATGTCCCTGACTCAGTGCTCTAAAAGAGCTGCAGATGACAGATCTGGAACAGGAGTGGAGGGTTTTAAAAGTGTTCTGAAGGGTCTGATGGAGAACCCTGACGTACACGGCACTGTGGACAGGATGGTGGAGAGTTATGTCCTGAATGGAGCTGTGGAGATCAGCCTGAAGATCCTGAAGAAGATAAACCAGAACCAGCTCACTGAGGATCTCAGACAGAGGATCAGTCTCAGAGAGAGCAGCACAGCTAAAACCACATTTACCCAATTGATAAAAGATACTTTTCCTCCATGATGTACAATCTTTTTCATTCTCTTTACATTTTCAACCAGCAGAGTCCACTGTTCTACTAATACATTTATTATTTACTATTAATCTTTTTTATTTTCTTATAAGGTATGGAATTACATATAATGTTTTTATATTTTTACAAATGATCATTATTAAATAAAACTCAGTAGTTACTCAAAACATTACAGCTCAATTATATTCATAGAAGACATCAAATTCTCTGTTCATGTTGTTTTGCAAGAGTTTCACAAAAAAACATCTTTTCACTGTCAGAAAGACTAGAACAGTAATATTTATTATTCCTTAATATACGTTTTATATAAAACCTGTTTATATGTTTGAAACGTTAAGCATTTCAGTTAAAACTGAGAAAACAAATATGATCTTAGCAACATTTACATCAAACCTCCTCAATTTGCTTTGAGCCCACTACAGTATCATTTTGAAGCTCTGGGCTGGTGATGCATCGCCAAACCATACAAGCAAAGGTGGCTGGACTTTGTGCCTTGTTGTCTCCTCTGCTTCCCAAAACCCTCTTACCCCTCAGAGAGGACTGTAGTGGTCAGCTGCATAAAACATCTTAACCTTATGGGCAGGATTTCAGTCAAACACGTGAGGAAGGTGATGAGTGAGAGTTACAGCAAAATCTTTATTTTTCACATTGAATTAAAGTTTTAAGTTACATTACAAGTTTAAGTAACTAAGTTTAAAGTTACATTGTTACTTTAAAAACAGTTTGCAAACCACAAAGCTTGCACTGCTGCGGAGAGCCAAGCGCTAGAGGTTTCTAGAGTGCCACTCTAGAAAAACAGAGCTGGCTGGATCCCCGGCAGCTTTAAATGTAGTGTCTAAAACTCAGTTTACATTTGTTCACTTTCCACTTCAACATTTACACTGAAAGGTTTTACACACCTCAATGAAGCTAAAGGGAAGATCAAAGTTCCCTTATGCTGTTTTACGCAAGTGTCCAGAGTCCAGTCCAGCTCAGAGTAACACGGTAACACGTTCTACATAACATTCTTATTAATCCTTCATGACTTCATTATAGCCAAGTTAAAAAATAACAAAGTAAAGAAACATCTGTAAGATAAATGAGAAACTCAAATAAATATGAATAAAATACTTAACAGATAAAACGAAACATAGACGTAAATAAAACCCAAACAATCAACTAAAACAAGAACAAACAGAAGTAAAATAAATGGAAATAGGTAGTAATGCATTAGTAACATTGCACGACATAATCATGCCATAATCATGTCGTAGCAGATGTCATATACTGTCAATAGCTGTCATGATGGAGATGTTCAGTAGTATAAGTGTCATGTAACTTTTACTAGTAAAAATGTCTCATGAGCAGTGTTACAAAGTAACGCATTACAGTTAAATATTTTGTAATCACATTACAGTTACTAAAATTATTAAAAAAAAGTGTAGTCTTGCGTTTTAATACACAAAATATAAAGCAACCAAAGCAAAAACACCTTTAAACTGCTGAAAACTGCTGAAGCACTTAATCAGGGTTGAGGCTAAAACAAAACTCATGGCTAAAGACTGTACTGAAGGAGAGAGAGCCCCAACTACCAAACAAGATAAACGGTTTTCATTCAGCGCCTGGAATGAAAGGAGAAATTAAGAGATACATAGTGAGGAAATGCTACCACTGTCTACTGCAGAGTTGCCATCATACAGACCAGAAGTCAGCAACCCACCTTAAATGGTGCTTGAAGTGGCAGAATGTAACTGCTGAAACATTTAAGGTGGAATAGGAAAATTTGAACGAGAAGCCGACTACAGCTTCACAACATTTTAGTGTTCGACAGTGTCTCGTTGCAGATTAAACGTATCAGGAAACCAGTTGAAGTGATTTATAAATGCTAATACGTCATTCATCTCCAAATTATCAATGTTCATCTTTGGCTCTTTGTCTGTTCGTTAGCTACTAGCTAGGCCAGATTGTTGTCTGTGTTGCTATGGTAACCAGCAGTCTGTGCTGATCTTCAGGGTTAAAGGGTGAATTAGCAGTTCTACATTAACTCCAGAGTTTAAGACCATTTATTGTTAAACTGGGTTGAATGATCAGCTTTATTTTACTGCAAAGGAGGATTATTTTATTTTTAACTACAAATCTAATTCTGCTGTGCAGTCACAACAGGGCAGTAAAAGAGCTGCACTTTGCCGTCTCCTGATTTAGACAAATACTGAACAAGATATCAGGCAAGAGTGTACCACCATCAGAGCGAAAAACACTTGCAAGCTACTTGGTTAATTCAGTTCTTATACTCTCCTGTCCACATGCTTGAAATACAGGTTTTGTTTTGTTGGACCACTGAAGAAGCTTTTATTGGACTATATTTTTCTATTGCTTGAACACATATGGAATATATTCTGATTAATAACACCTCGTGTCGGCCCATCAGGAAGTTCAGGATCCATCTGCATAGAGAACTTGTTCAGAGAAAACAGCAGCACCAAGTATGTAACATTCATTTTATACATGTTTAATGTTGCTGTTTCTGGTACATTTTGTTTCTAAATAAACTATGGAAGAAGAACGATCGTCTACTATTTTTATCCTTTCCAGATATGTTTGTAGATTTGATTCCAGTATGTTTTATATGGGTTTTAGAATGTAATGAAGTTTGATATTACATTTTCCAGAAAGTAATGAGTAAAGTAATCCCATTACAATTGTAGTTAAGTACTGAGTAATTTGTAATGGATTACTTTTTTGAGTCACTACCCCAACACAATGACACAATGAGTGCACAGTAAAAACTGTCATGCGACATAAGCTGTTGTGACATTATGCATTAGTTCAGTTAAGACGTAAAGAAAGTATAAATATATTCTGATCACGATAATCAACAACATAGACTTTAATGAATGTTTGATTAATAACTAATAATTTTCAGAATATAATTAAAGGAATTATTCCTAAAAACAGTAACAAATTTACACAGTTGTCCACTCACCCCAGACGTGTCCACTCACAGCCAAGACTTGTTTGGTGT